GGGGGGTGGGGGGGGGTCTGAATTGAGCGATCAATTATTAGACCCGGACGTCCCAACACTTGCTTCGCAAGACAAACTCAAGGTATCCCCTAAAGGGCTACCTTTCGTGAACAGGGGCTCTGCCATCGGCACCTGGTGGCCGATGTCACGGCAGTGGATCCCAGACCACAACGCCACAGGCAGTTGCGGAAGAAGCAACCTGAAGCGCCTTCTTAAGCATCAACGGAGTAAGATCAGGCTTTTCTTGAGGGTCCCTATCTGTAAAGGCTGTTTGTGTGTGTGTGTGTTTTTAAACCTCGTCATGTTTGCTCTGTAAAAATAGGCTCGTTGCGCTGTTGCAGTTGTAGCTTTGCCATGATCTCGCAAATTCAGCTTCTGGTTGCCTAGGTGGCTTCTCTCAGACCCTGCATTACTTAGATGAATTTAGAACGAACGTGTATTCTTTGCTCCTTTTTGAATCGCCCTGTGCATCTCAAAGTCGCAACTGTGTCCCGGGATCCTGTTTGGAAAACGTCTGCTGGGGCAACTCCATTGCTTCCCTTTCGCACCATCTGGCGAGCAGATCACTTCTGGTCTTCTCCAAAATCGATTTCGGTACCGCAGCCTCCTGGCACATCCACCGCCCGCCCTGCCGAAGCAAACATGTCCACCTGGAACCCCAGTCCCAACCAGAAACAGATAGTTGTTCCAACATGGCAATTGAAATCCTTTACATCTTGGGGAAGCATCCATGGTTGTTTCTTCCAGTTTGCAGAACACTCGGCCACACTCGGCCTCCTTTGGCCTCGGGCAGCTTCCGAAGCTGCGACCAGTGACTCTCTCACCTCTCACTTCATGGACCAAACCCTAGTCTCTCACCTCACAGACCGCCGCCTGGTTCTGGGAAACAACCTGAAACACCATGATTTGACCCGGTCGCCTGTCTTCCATATACGCACGTCTTCCAGCCGTCCCGTCGCGTGTCGATCCTCAACCATTCTCCTCTCCCCTCCTCTCCCCCTGTCGACGACGCTGCACCCCACGGCACCTGGTCTCAGGAGCACCCTTTCGGCCACCACGGCACCGGAGAGCCGCGTCCTCCGCGGCGAGTGCGGAGGACGCGAGTCGAGTCGAGGGTCGACGGACCGCTGCCGCGGACCGCGGGCGCAGACGGGCAAGCGTTCCAAACGGCGCTCCTCCGGACGGTCGGACTAGTCCATGGGAAGATGCTTCTCCTCCTCCACGGGGTCGGGCATATCAGCACAATCCTGAAGGACATGGGACCGGCGGAGTTTTGGGGCGGAAACAAAGAAAAGAAACCTGTTACCTGGTTCTTCAAAGTGACCGAACTTAATAACCTGGTTGGTTCGGTCACTTAAGCCTCCGAGTAGGGTCGCTTAGGAACCTTCAAAAGGTCGCGTACTGAAGAAGCTGGTTCACGGTTCTTCATCCTCATTCGTCGCCGAGTCAGAATGTCTTCCACACCAAAGCAAAAGTTGACGAAGCAAAGCACATCGCTGACGAAGAAGCTGGTCATTTGAGGTTCATGTGGCTGTGGGTCAAAACCTGGAGCCCCCCTGTTTTGACCCACTGCCTTTCATGCCTTCACCCTCTTGCCCAGCTGCAGAGGTCGTGGCGATACCTGCTGCCGGGCCGTTGGTCACAGCAGCCACCATGTCCTCGGCCGCACGCCAACCCGCGGGGTCCAACATCCACAGCATCCACTAAAGTTCACCCCATCTCAACTTGAGGCCAAGGGTTAGCTTAAGGCACACAGCCCATCCCAATACATTGCTAAAGCAAAGAAGAACTCAGCTAGCATGCTAGCTTTCGTGCGAAACCGGGTTCGTTGAAGTGCTGCCCACGGCACCGAGATGTCCGCAGCGCAGAGCGCCTTTTGGCTTCCTGCCGGGACCCGTCGACGCGGGGGGAAACCCCGCAACGCCACGCGAAACTCCAAAGGTGGCCCGAAATGCCCCGTTCGTAGCGTCCGATCGCTCCGTTCGTAGCGATGCCCTGACCGCTCCGTTCGCAGCGTCCCATGTCTTCATTGCGTTCGGAAGACGGCGGGCGGCGATGCGAATTCGACGGCTGTCTCGACCCGGACGGCTGGGCGAAGGAACACGACCAAGAATGCACCTGGACCCGACTCTACAGGTGCTTCCTGGTGACAGGTGCCCAAAAACCACCTGTTAGGGTCTCCAAACAGCCTGGCCAGGAGGGTCCTGGCATGGAAGGCATTTGCTGGATCCATGGAGAGTGATCCAATTTTGGAACTGGGCTTGGGAAAGGCAGCACGCTTTCGCTAGGCTCTGGAAACCCCCCACACCTTGTCTTCTTGTCCACCTCACGGCAGTTGTTCCATTAACAAAACGGCCTCGCCGATCCATTTTGGTGGCTCAGAAAGAAAACACCTTGGCCTGGGGGCCACAGATTTGAAACGGTTTGCGGATAATCTATATATATATAATATATAAGAATGTGTATAATATATATTAAATTATATATATATATAAAATGGTCTTTTCTCAGTGGGTTTGGACGATATCGACGATACCCCATTTTATGCAGCGGCCCCTTGCTCGCTTTTGACCACGAGACCAGACCAGTTTGCCCAAGGTCCTTTCGTCCAGCAGTCGGAGACGGCCAAGGCCCTGGGTGGCGACAAATCGTCGAAACTGAATGAAAACTTAAATGGAACGCATTAACATTAACATCATTAACCTAAAATCTGGGCGGCTACAATTTTGTTGACTGTCATTAACTGAAAAGCTGGTACAAATAGTAGCTGTAGAAAGCAAACGATAGAAGGAAAACCGTGTTTCGGCGTTGGGCTATCCACGACCCTCTCTGAGGAGACTTCCTGCAAGCATCACCAGTTTGCACAAATCGAGAGAAATCAACTCTGAAGAGCTTAAGACTTAAGACCTTGTGACTTCACAAACCGGGCATAATTTGAAAGCAGGGCACCCCAGCTCAAGATCAGCTTATCAGCTTAAGTGCAACACTAAATGCGTTGACCTTTACCGGTTTGCGCGCTGCCCAAGCCGCCAAGCGCGGGGAGTGTCCCCCCCATGAACCTGCCAACCTGGTGCCGCCCAAGCAACGTGAATTGGGAGATCCACGCGAAGGAGCTGATGATGTTCATGATGTTGATCGCGCAGGCCCTGAACAGAAGCACGCTCGTTTTTGAACCAGCGAGTGCGCGAGTGCGGCAGTGCCCTTTTCGGCAGGTGTGCGTCCTGCCCGGCTCCAGGACTCTTGGCGTTAAGAAATTCATTTCACTCCCCTAAACTTCCGTTCGATCATTCAAAAAATGGGAACGACCTGGTTTTTGATGGTTTTTGTAGTAAAATCCTTAGTTGATTCGGGATTCAGTTGGAAGCCCAGGGACTCAGTAAACTACTACATTCCATCATCGGCTGCCCCTTGGGCTCTGGCTTTGGCTCAGGGCAGGCGCTGGCCGCAGAGCGGATCTGCAGGATGACGCGGACAATGTAGGAGGCCTCAGCAGGGTATCAGCTGGAATGGCACTGCTACAATCCATCAGAGGTTTTGGGGCTGGAATCCATGCCCCTCGTCTAGCAGAAAAAACCTTCGTGTAGGCCAAAAAGGGTGGATCAAGCCGCGTTCAATCCAACAGCTACTCAAATCGAAGGAAAGTGCTAGGCCCAAAGTGACAAGTTCATGGAAGGAAGCCATGGACTTCTCCATGACGTAGGCCCGAATCCCAGAACATTTGTCATAGCGAAGCGAAACTGCGAAACCATGCAAACAAAAAGCACATTAAGTCAAATGACTTTTGAAGTTCTTTGAGGAACGAGATTCCATTTACAAAACGAGCTTGAAAAGAAAACGACTTGCCCACTTTTCTGCCGACACGTGGCTGCAAAGGAAACACAAGTACATGTGCTAGCGTCACAGGCTTCATCTCCAAACCTTTTCCACATTGAATGATATTGAATCAATGTGCTTTCTGCAGCACACATACATAGCCCTGCAACCTTTGTGGATCTTTGTGGCATCTATGCTGCGGCAGGAAACAAAATCCCATGCAAATGGCAGGACGACACTGCAAGGAGAACCTTCTCCATCATCCAGCCTCTTCTTTCCTACACGGCACCCATCCACATAGTGCGCCACGGTGATCCCTGTGGAGAACTGCTGCCCCGCGCTGGGTGGGCGGTCAGACCGAAGTCTTGAGACCAACTGTGCTGGGTTCCCCGGCCGCATTGGTCACGTCCGCCATGACGCACTGGGTGAGGTCAAAGTTGCGGTTGCGCTTGGACTCAGCCGAGTCAGACGGAACATCAAACATATCACTCTGAACACCATGGGGACCATGGCATCACCATGGCGTTCAGGTGATGGCAGGTGATCCACCCAGTCTGTCCGTCTCAGACTGTCACAAGTCTTGCCTGTCTGCTATCTGCTACGAAAACCTGGCCCTCCAGCCTCCAGCCAAGGCACAGTGCGGAGCGCATCCACCTTGGCGATGGTCTCCACGGTGGGCGCGGCGCCAGCAGGGACGAAGGCTTGCCAGTTGGGCGGCAGGGGGTTGGCGTCGGTCACGTGCAGCAGGGCGATCCAGTCCTGTCAAAAACAGCGGATTTGGGGAGCCAAGAATGAAAACAATCCTTCCACAAAATTGCAGATGAGCATCAGTACAACTATAGTCCGGCTTCAGAAGAAAACAAACCATGTCCAATTATATAGGAGATTCGAGCCAAAAAATTGAGTTTACCGTTTAACCAACCAAAGAAGATACTCAAAAAGTCAGTTAGCCGGACATTCAAAGACCAATGCCGATATTCTCTATAATAAGCTACCAGCTACAGCAATATACAACCTTGCACAACCTCCCAAAAGGTACCCTACTTATACAGTCACAACATGTGCCCCACCTCAAGTGCAAATGCGACTCGCACAGCCTTGAAAAAGCCCTTGTCCTTGTTGAAATCGCAATCCTCCTTCACAGCCGCTCCGACCTTTGCGCTGTGGCAAACTGTGTGTGTGTGTGCATGTATGTGTGTGTGGCTTAACAAAGAACTATAACTAGGAACTAGGATCACGAGAAGCCGCACCGACGAAAGCATCTGCATGATTCGAGGTCGTGCATGGCACTTCAAGCATGACACGAAGGCACTTCATCAACAACATGATGATGCGCATGCTCTTCTTTCCAGTTCTTTTTCTTTGGCCCTCCATGTACGCGTTGTCCACAAGGTCCGGCTCGGTCCGGGCGGCGACCGGTCGCCGGGTGGACCGAGGCGTCCCCCCCCAACTGGGAGCGTCTGAAGTGCTGCGTGAGCCAGGACGGCCCGCTGGGCCGGCTCGAGTTCACTAAGGGCTGGGAGAGTGGTACCACGCGGAAGAAACCACCAACGCACGGAGGCACAGCGAACAGCGGCATGATCCGGGCGCCGAAGGGTGTTCAAGCACCTGGCGCCTACCTGCGAACTGAACTGGACATGGAATAGAGCACACAACTCCGCGGCGCTTGACACGTGTAGGGCGGGCGCTTGACGGCTCCACTCATCCACATGCACAAGACCAAGTTCTTCCTTGAAACCAAAAGAAGAAGCAAAAGAGCCTGCGAACCCTCCCTCTCCAAGCACGCCTTTTTGGAAGGACCACCAGGCAAAGGGGGGCATGCTGCAGGGCTGGCAGGTCAGCACCTGCAGCAGAGCCCCCCATAACTCCACCAGGCACAGCACATGGGCTGTGTGATGTTCAGATCATTCAACTAGGGAGGGAGGGTGGGACAAAAGAGAACTGCGCTCTATGTCAACCACCACTTCAACCTCAACCTAGTATCATGCATGCTTGTGGGTGAGGGTTTGTGTGATCGCCTAAAGGCGAGCTGATCCACGCCAACCACCGGACATCGACGAACAACCAAATCACCAAAATCTGCAGAAGAACAAAGAGGTTTTATGCCTCGACCGTCGAAGCGCACGTGGCTTTTTCCTGGACCAAGTCCTTCAACGAAAGGAGCCGCCGAACATGACCGAAAGACCCGTAAAGACCTGGCGCACGCAGGGTCGGCACACGCCACGACCGGTGAGTTCGAATTAAACAAGAGCCGCCAGGGCAAGTCCTTGGACTTCCGCAGTGAACATTGGATGGATTTCAGAATGACGGCTAAGGCTGGCTATAGCTGTGGCTGGGATCACTGAAGGTCACGGCTGAGCGATCAAAATGATCCAAGGCTTGCAGAGCAAGCTGCCGTTGCCTACCTGACCCCTTTCGAATAAAACCGTGTTTAGAGTTGAAATCAAGCTGCGGTCGCCATCTCGCCAAAGTTCGCCATCAGGGCCGTCCAGTCTCCCGCACAGAGGGCGCCCGAGTTGACGGCGGCACCACAGGCGTTGGCCGCGAAGGAGAGGTACGAGGCGATCCAGGTGATGGAGGTGATGAAGCCCGCGACACCTCAGCTTTGCATTTAATTTGACCAACATTGGGTGGCAAGGAAATACAAGGAAAGAGCATTGGGTGCATGTCGTTTGCTGGTGTCAATTCAACAAACAAAACTAAAGGTAACTTCGCGCTGTCATACTTAATGTCAGTGCAGGTGGGAAGTCCGATTACAGCATCTGTGGAGAAGCTCCAAGCTTTGAGCCAAGAGCCCTTCACAAAGAACAACAGATGCATCTGCTCATGCATCTTCAGCTTGGCATCTGATCATGACCAGTTCTCAAGTCTCCAATGCCCAAGAGGGGACGCTACTAGGAACAAGTGCATCGCTATACTAGTAACAAGGGCCTTACTAGTAGTAACAAGAAGCTATTAGGAAAAAGTCTAATTCTTGTTTCTAATAGCTTCTTGTTACTACTAGTAAGGCCCTTCTTACTAGTAGCGATGCACTTGTTACTAATAGCTTCTTGTTTCTCGTTCGCATGCGGTCAAGTCACTGGCAGCGCAGCCCACCGGAGAGTTGTTTGGGCACTTGAGACCGTCGTAGTCGATGGCCTGGCAGCTCGACACAGGGCACGGGGCGAACGAGCGAAGGACGATCGATTCGGATCGATTCGGTGCTGAACTCCGAACACCTCCAAGGAGTTCACATGTGATATTTGTTTCCCTAGACTTCCGTTCGACCATAAAAAGAATGGGAACAACCTGGTTTTGTAGTGTAAAATCCTTAGTTGTTTCCGGATTCACCCTACTAATTTAATGGTGGGCCAGGAAGTCTAGGGTTTGTCTTGTGACAACAGCCTAATCATTCGACCAGGAATCGTTCAAGCTGACTCCACAGCCGCTCAAGGGATCTATGCCGAGTCCCACCAGACACATAGCACCAACGTCCACGAGTTCCGCAGAGCGATCAACGCCTGTTGAACTGGTCCGATTGGTTTGCATGGTTGCCGCCCATTCTGAATGGGTTTCAACACCTTTCGACACCTTTGTCGCAGCGCCGATCCCAAGTCTCTCTCTGGAAAGGCTGTCTTTCTCCAATCATCGAGCATGGCCTTGTACAAGAAGACCACAGCTTGTCCCAAATAGGCGGCGCCCTGCACAGCTTGGCTCAGAAAAGGTTCCAGGCCAGTTACGCTAGCTCCTGAATCCTTCTCAACTGGTTGGCCTGAACCACGTCGATCACGCACTCGGTGCGGATCCAGGGGAGTTCCTCCGGCTGGGACTCGTAGAAGAGGTCGTTCAGGTTGCGCAGGGGCTGCTTCAGCTCGAGGGCTCAGCGAGCGACTGCTGGTAGAATTGTAACAGTAGAGAGACACAATTACCTTGCATCTTCAACCCTCGCACCCTCCGTGACACTTTCTATGCTGCGACCGAGCGTCTCTTGGCATGTTCGATGACATTATCGATCCCAGGGATGTCCTCCCAATCGTTGATGGTCTGCATCACACTGGATGTCCTCAAGCGTCGGGACATAGAATCCGGGTGCATGTATTTATTAAATGCTCTAACTTAAAGTGGACTGTGCCCTTACTTTGCACAAGCTCTTGGTAGGCCTATATCAAGAAATATTCAAGAAGCATCTTCCAATCCCATGCTAAGATGGAGGCCATGCGGGCTCTTGCACAGGCATGGTCTTGTACGCGAATGCCGCACAGCCCACCTGACGGGAAATCATGTTCTTCACTGCACATTCCTCAGGTGTCCCTGCTCTGAGCCAGCTGAGATATGGGTGTGTATTAAAATAGGGAGACCTCCCAGTTGAAGAAGGGAAATAGACCAAAGCCATCCAAAGCCCATTGGTTGGAGTTCCCCTAATCAAAATACACACACACCCATATTATTCTGCATTGACCTCTATGGGGGGGTGGCCCCTCTGCTGCTTGGTCTTGCTGCTTTGCTATATAGGTAGGCCAGTCTGCCCGACTGTACCACTAAGCGAGCATGGAGTGATGGGGTCCAGGAGATTGGAGATTAGGCACCACCAAGGCACAACCAGTGTTTTGTGTTTTTGGGTCTACACTCCCTGGAACTAACATGGAAGTGGACAATGGCCTCTTGGAATCGGAAGACCATTTTCCTCTACAAACAGGGTGTTTTCCACTTCCATGTTAGTTCCAAGGAGAGTATGTCTAACTTTTTGAGGGGTCTTTGGTCTTGTCTCTTGGCATGTTTGTCTTCATTGGAGTGTGTTGGATCTCAATGTGTGGACGCTTTGTGAGGTGAATTGATTCAGGATTACCTGGAAAAAAAGAAGCCTACGAAATCTATGAAACTTGATGATCTAGCAGCGCATCCCATGCTCTAGCATTCCCAGCTGCTTTGGCACTCACGCAACGACTGGAGAGTTACTGTACGCCCCGGAGGTCTTGCACTCCGCCCCAAAGCCACCAGCGCCAGGACGACCACAGAGCCCAGTGCTTTCCACCGCCAGGTTGAAGGCGTGGCGGGGGCCTGCGGCACAAAAGGCGACCGTTTCGCGACCAAAGGCGTTTTGAGGATCAAGGAGGATCGCGAAGACGTGGTCGTTGGATTCTCCGGAAGGCCGAATCCTTCCTCTTCTGAAGTGAACTTCGTTCTGGTTTCTTTCCAGCGAGTTCGGCCGAGTTCGGCCGAGTTCGGCCGAGTTCGGCCACTGGCAAGCCCATGATAGGGGTGCCGGGGGGGGCACCACATCCACTTCAGTGGGGGGGACTGAAAACCACCCCCGTCCCACAGGTGACTCTTGCTTTAGAAACCTTTCTGAAACCTTTCAGATCCTCCCCGATCCATGGTCCACCCGATGGATGGTGCACCACTGAACCGGGGGGGGCCCAACGACTCGAGCGTCCACAAAGGAGATCGAAGGTACGGTATCTCCGAACGATCCATGACATCATGGACTGATCAAATCTGTCAAGGAACGTACGCATGCCGAAGGTGGCCCTCTTCGCCCTCTTCGTCCTACATGCGGCCCTTTCGGGCGCACCTCTGGCACGACCAAAAACTCCTCCGCTTCCTCCATAGGCACAGCCGAATGGGTGCTGGACATCGTGGCTTTTGGCTTTGAATGGGGGCAATGGCCGAAACACGTGCGTTTCGCGTCCAAAAGCAGTCGAGCTGAGATGGCAACAGCAACACACACCTTTGTCACACGACAGCTCTGGAAAGCACTGCATCGAATGGACGTGTTAGGATGATGCTAGCCAAGGCCATGCAAGGCACAAGAAAAGACAAAAGAAAATGCAGCGAACGACCAGGAGAATGACCAAATCTGGTTCTCTGATGTTCTCTGTGATTCTACTTAGCCCATCTTCTTGCGGCACTCCCATCCCTCATCGTTTCACCGGGCATTTTCCACTCGATCAGCATCGGCCACACGGGCCTTGCGACACCTTCGGCCTGGGGGGACCGGCTACGACCCGATCTCCGTAGGTCGGGTCGACGTTCCACGGGGTCGGCGCAGGTCTGCCGCCAGGGGACCAGAGGCTAAGTTTCGCCCTTGTAGCGGCTGTGCTTCTGCCAGCCACTGTGGAGTTCCTGGCACGAAAGTGTGACAAGCACGAATTCGGCTTGAAGTCATTGAATTTGCCCTGACTAGAAATACGCTTCAAAAGGACAGACAGGTATCAACATTATCAACTACAATTCATGGAGATGCCTGCTTGCAAATGAAATTCAAATTCAAAGCAAGACCTTTCTCATTTCACCTAGCATTTAAAAATATATTATATTTAAGCTATCAGCTGCCAAACTTGTCTGTATCTCTGCACACCCAACCGGGGCCCTCCCTGTGCCGTCTCACGTCCGGCCACGTTTCAGCGGTCAGGTCAGGCCTTGAACATGCTCCGGAGGGGCTCCCTTAGGGCAGCATAGAGCCCTTGGAGGAGCTCTTCAGCACCCTCCAGGGAGTTCCTCCGAGCGAATTCGGGGCCAAACTACGCCACGAGCGAAGTTCGTGCTGGGCGGCTTCCGGGGGGGATTGAGAGGCTGCTCCTTTCACCGGATAAGAACGATTGGAAGCATTCGTGTGAAGGGAAAGGGAAGGGAAGGTATTTTCCAGGACAAGGACGGAGTTGAATGCGCGTGGGCTCGCGTTGTAAAAGATCCTTTACGACACGTGGGCGGCGTGTCCTGCAAGTCGAAGAACCAAAGACCGTAAAGACCCCCAGGAGTCACAAAGGGGTGGTGTTTAGTCCCTAAGTGAGTGGATAATGGGCACCCCTATCCTCCAATAGGCATCCCTTTGTGACTGCCGGTATCTTTCTTTGTCTTTGATTCCTAGGGTGGGACTCCCCTGGCGCAGGACACCGGCAACAGGAAGAAGCTGCGTGGACCTAGAGTCCAGACGGGTTTCGTCGCACCTGCAACGACGCCCCTGGAAGGTTCGGTTCGGGGAGTAGTGTAGTCCACCCCTGGCGGGTCTCCCTACGAGGTCATACACATGCCATGTGTCCAAAGTCCTCGCAGGAAGAAGATCTGTGCTTTGTAGAGATCCAACAGGGCTTAATCCCAACAAAGCTAAACCCATAAAGCCAACAGTACAAGAACTGGGTGGCCACTGACAGATGCAGCTCATCTTCCCCATCAGTGCTGCCGCGGCGCATCAATGGCACTAGTCCTTGCTGAAGCACTCCGACCTAGCCACGTCGAGTTTCGAGCAAACAAAGCGCTTGAACCCTTGGGGTGAATGTTTGGGGGTGAACCACATGCCTTCTACACATCACTACATCACTAGGAAACAAAACACTCCTCTACTGGGCCAATGGTCAGCTGTCCAAGTTCGCTTCTCGCACCCCAACCGAACCGTTCACTCGCCGGCGTTCCGGCCGAGCCGGCTTCCTCCGGGGTTTTTTCTTCTGCGTTCCAAGGAACGGCGTCTTTCCACGCAGCCACCTCCTGAACACCTCGGTCTGCTTGGAGCGCTTCCAAACGCCAGTTTCTCCACATGAAGGAACATCTCCCCCCCAAAAAAGAACGCAACTCCCTCCCAAATTTCCCTCCCCGTTCCTCCCGGTCATCTCCCGGTCACCTCACCACCTCATGGCCTCTCCTTGCTTGCAAGGCACGGTCCGAGCTGTGCGCCTGCGCCTTCGCCTTGGCGGCGGCCTCCACTCCCTCGAAGCGGCGCTGCTGCTCCAGCGCGTGGGCGACCAGCGGCATGGCCAGGCCTGACGCGCCAGGAGCGAGCCGTCGTGCCGCGCGCGGCAAACCGAGGAGGGAACTTAGGGCCTGAATGGGTGTGTCCGACCAGAAGCCATATGAGCGGCTGCCAAAACGGGCTGGAAGAAGTACAGTAGAGGACATTATGAAAAGTACTGTAAGGTTATCGCTTTTGAGGGGCCTATCGCTTTTGCAGGTTTTGGCCCAATTCCTGAAAATCACGACGTCCGCTCTCTACTAAGTTACAATAATATGGGAATGAATCTGAATTTACAGGCCAACAGCCTACAAGTACCAACATGTAGAGCACCCTTTTCTTGAGCCAAACATAGAGGTCAATATGGTATGTACAGGTGTACAATCGTGCAAATACACCCCCCCGCTGAACGCACTTGGCAGCAAAGGTAGTGAAGAACACTATACACGACTATGTACACGGGACAACGTGCATACCAATCTGACCTCCGGTTCCCCGGTGTTTCCTTTCATGGTTAACACCGTACGTGCCTGCGGCTTTCATAGAATCTTTGCCGACCTGAGGCGCGAGGGAACGACGATTAACTCGATTGATTATGAAGTATAATGCCGAACGGACGAATTGCAGTCGGACGCAGCTCTTTTCACATGCATCCGCAGATCGTCAAACTGGAAATGGGCCTTTTACGTAGGCACACGTTTCCACGCGGCATAATTAGTGATGCTTCCGTTTCAGGAAGAGTGCACTTCGGCTAAATCGAATTTAAGCCTTGCAAAGATTGCGGACCGCCTCAAAGAAGATGACGTGAGGCAACTGCTTCCGCAGCGCGTGCAAGGACTTCCGAGAGCATGTCGACGCCTAGAAAGACAATGCGCTACCGCAAGCACTAGATGAAAAGAACAGCACAACTGTCATAAGGCATCGGCTCCCGCCGTGCATAGGTGGGGTTTATCGGCCGCGACCCCACCAGTCCGCTCCGTAGTTATCTTGGTACCAGGTCCAATCCGCATAGTGCCAACCTGGGATGGTACCAACGTCATCATCGAGGTCCCTCCAGTCACGGGCCCACCGATTCCTTGGGTAAGGTGCGTTCTCACGGGCCTGTCGACCTCCGTGGCGCCATGTGCCCTTACCTTTCCCTTTTGCTCGATCGACACCCTCTCTTTCCGGAACATGGATGTTCCTTGGGTCTGCTCGCACGAGGTTCTCATAGGACGGGATGCTCTGGAGGTCGGATGACAGCCATCCAACAAACTCCGTCTTCAGCTTCTCTACGTCCTTCTCTTCCGAGAGGAATGAACCAGAGAACCCCAAGACTTCAAAGCGGTGGTGTTCCATCGCGTACAGTCCGACAAAGACACCAGGGCGTAGGATCTTGTTCTTCCAGAACACAAAGACCTCGTTCGACACATCGACTTCGCGCTGAGATGTGTCGGGGATCATCAAGATCTTTGCTTTCACATTGACGCCTACCCCTTCTTGGATTTGTTGGGCGGTGCGCGTCGGAATGGGCAATACCGCTGAACTGAGTCGTTGCAAAAACTTCAAACAGTCAGGGGACATGTCCTGCGCCGCGCAGTTGAACGCGTAGAATGGGTCCAAGCACAACCGCTCTGTGAGCGAGCCAAATTCCAATTTGGACGCTTTGTCCATGTGCGACTTGGCGTGTGCTCGGATTGTCGCAATGGCAGATTGTCCAGTCCTGATCCTACCACCTGCAGGATTCCTCAGCCCACGGTCCCCCCGGGCACGAATATCGTCATCCGGGAACATGTCCAATGACAAGTCGAAACCGAAGCTTGCGGCCAAGTTTTCAAGACGGACAAGCAGCGATGCCTTTCTCATATCCGTTGCAACACGAGCTAGTCGTCCACAGTTCAAGCACGACAAACATCCGAATGGGGAATCGGATCCGCAGTCAATGCAATGCTGTGGCTCAACGTCGTGCTGGCGAACGGTGATCCACCGTGAAGTGAAGAACTTTTCGTTTCCTCGAGGATCATAGCGCATCTCCATCTCAGGGGTCCAATGCGCCCAATCAACTGATCCCAGCGAGAGAGGCCATGCCGAGTCGCCTTCCGGCTGCCATGCAATTGCCATGTAAGGAGTTGAGTACGTTCCGATATTGGCATCTGCATGCTCGAGCTGGTCCTTGCAGAACTCACGGTTGTACGATTCGAGGATGAAGGCATTTTCCACCCAGGCCCCATGCACCCATTTCTCATACTTTCCGAACAGGTCCCACCTAGACCTTGCCAGCAATGACTGCCTTCTTGCGTTGTCATCTGCCTCATCACCACGGTCAAGCCGTTCCCGGCGACGCACGACAATGTCTCGGAGATCCTGATTGAATGAGGCTCTCTCTTTTGCATAATCGTGGTTCGCATAGATGAAGCACTTTGCTGACACATCATACGCATAGATGAGGAACTGGTTCGGAACCCAATCAGTAGTCACGACGGCTTGGCTTTGAGTGACGGCGAACCTGATTCCATATGACACCGCCATCTCAACATCAACTGCGACCGCAACTGGTCTGGTCGAGGCCATTCCTGCTTGACTCGTCTTCTGAATGCTCCACGGCTCGAAAGCCGAGAAGTACGAATGAGCCTTGCTAGTCCTGAGTCCCCCCGGACAAATGCCACATCGGATCACATCATCCAAGAAGGCGATATGAGTGTAGTGGTACAAGATCTTGGGGTGAATATCCTTGATGTGCAAGTCAAGTCGTACTGGAAGCGTAGGATGCTCCCTTCGCAGCAGGCGTTCGATCGTGAACGACGGATCAAGACAGATGATTCTGTCGACCTCGGGCCACGCCATGTTGATGTTCTCCAGAATCCAGTCGTTGTGAGATTGGATTGCCTTGATTCGCACCGGCAGGAAGAAATACTTCTCAGCGAAGAGTTCCCCCTCGCGGGCAAGCTGCACATCGAGCATAAACCTATGGTTTGACGTCACGATGTCAATCAAGTCCGACACAGTGAGGGAGCGGGAGTACCTCCTCTTGATGAATGAGAACACCGATGCAAAATCCATCCATGCTCCATCTTGGAAGTCCGGAAGCGGAATGCGATCTCGTCGATTGGCATGGTTATGCCCTCGCAGCAGGCCGGAGATACGCTTTGAAACAAAGAACTGCTCCTGGTCATACCATCCGATCACCGCGGCACCAGGCACTTGGTTTGCCGGCATAGTCGTACGGATCGGAGTTCCTCCTGCTGGGACCAATTTGGGCGCATCCCTTCCGGGGGCCGCAGAACTCGATGCTGCGGCTTTGGGCACGGATGAGGGCTTTGGCGTGTATTTCGCCTTGGGAGGATTGGCAGAAGATGATGATGTCCCTGCCGTTTCTTCCATTTCGACGTCGACCACCTCTGATGAGCCCTTCTTGGCTCCGGCTTCCGCCGAGCTGGACATGTCGACATTCACGACTTTGTCACCAGTTCGGAGCTTCTTGAGGCTGTCTGGCGCTGCCTTCGCCTTAGGAGCTGCACCGAGATCAGCGGCAGTCTTTCTTTTGAGGGCAGGCAGTTCCTCTGCGACCGGGCGGTGAACTCCGTCCTTGTCCCGTTTGTACGGGCAAGGTTCCGCCGGTGGCGGCGGTGGCGGGAGTTCATCATCGTCTCCGTCATCGTCGATGAAGTGCAAAGGAAGAGTTCTGCCTGTGACCGCCTCGGTGTAATGGCGCAGGGCGTTGCTCGACATGGAGATTGCTCCATGCGGGTTCCTCGAAAGATGCAACGCACCCCCTTCGAGGTATTGGGCTGCATAGATCTTGTTGAACTTCATCTTATCGGCAACGCTTTCCAGCGCGCTTGAACCTCCGACGATTTGCTGATTGAAAACAATCTCTTCATCGTCGGATTCAAGAGCGTCATCCTGCGGGTCCTGGTAACCTTCGGCAAGGGCAGCCTTGTAGTGATCGCCCACGATCTCAATGATCTCATCGACAGTCTCAGGAGGTTGGTCGATGTCCGATCTGACACGAAGGTCTGACTCTTCAATCTCTACTCTAGACACGTGTTCCCAAGCGCCCTTCTTGCCAGCGTTCACGCTCATGAGCTTCTCGTCAGGGCATGAATCATTTGGCTCCGCAAGAAGTGTTGTCTTCTGAGTTGGATGAGGTTCGTCATCAGGATCATAGTCCGGAACGAAGTCATCCTCCACGGGGTCGTTGACGCTTGAGTCCTTTTCAGGTGACGAGGTGATGTCAACTGTTGGCTCACCAGTTCCCTGGGGCAAAATGATACCAGCCCGCTCCAGTTCCTCCGGAGTGGCCCTCAAATGCTCCCCAGTGATCTCATCCAACAGTGCCACTTCGTGACCATCAGCGTACACGCATGTCTTGCAAAGGATGGGTTCGATCATAATCTTGTTCTCAGGGAATCGGTCATGCGGCTCGAGAAACACGTAGGACGCACGATATCTCTCTCGGGCCTCGGCTTCCGCACGGGCTTTCTCCTCTTTCGGAGTCATGACAGGTTGAAGGCGAGCTTGCTTCCGCAGCGCTTCACAGTCCTTCAATCGCCACATCTGGTATGTGAGTCTTGCCATGGCGACGAAGTAGCGATAGTAAGCAGTCCTGTTGCTATCGCTGTCCTCTGCATGGAACCCATCGTAGCGAGTTGTGGCACGTGTGAGCGGAGACCCAGTCACAGCAAGCAACCCTTTGTTCTGGGCGGCGTCAGCGAACAAGCACATCTGGCGCGCGAAATCTTGGTGGAGTCCAAAGGAATTCGCGTCTGCGTATGCTATGATCGATATGGCCCCCACATCGGGGCGCTGGAGGAAGTTCGCTAGTCTCTCCAACTGCGCGAAATGCCTCCTCGCTAATTCATCCTGCCACTCTGAAGCAGCGCGCTGAACAGCGGGATTCCGGTGTACACTTCTGGAGTCAATCCAAGTGTTGCCGACGAACCCGTGCTTCCCCCACACGTCGTTGCCGGCATACGACACCACGATAACCGCTGGGGCACGCCGTTCCCGGCTGCGTCGTCTGGCATTGTTTAGGCAGCTCTCG